ATTACTCCATCTCTATGGTGTAGTAAACATGGATGATTGTTTTTATTATCTTTTGTTTAGTTTAAAGAGAGGGGATGGAAGATGAGGGGAGGGAAACAAAGGAGTTATTCTTTATTTCCTCTTATAATTTTAGCATAACTAAATGAGGGAAGGAGAGGGGAGGGAAGTAAAGGGGGTCGTCTCTGCTTTGTTTCCCCCAAACCAGATGAGGGATAGATGTAAGTTTCTGCAGTAAAGTAAAGGAACATAGAAAATGTAGAACTAGAAGATTTCAGAACAAGAGCTTCTCTGATATGGAACTCTCGTTTCATTTTAGATTAAATTGCAAGACATAAGAGTTGCTGAAAAAAACATGCAACATGTACATATCAACTATTGCAAAAAAAAAAAAAAAACCACCAAAAAACATAAACTTTAGCTACAGAAAACATAAACTAACTGCAAAAAACTAAAATGAAACAGTTACAAATTAAAAAGCATAATTGATATCTGCTAACTTCAACACTCCTTGCTTTTTATATTTGTAACTCCAAGCATATGAACTTTCCAAAATTTTGCCTTGGAAGAGCTTTAGTCAAGATATCTGCAACTTGAACTTCAGAATCACAATGCTGCAAAATAGTCTTTCTCCTGAACATAATTTTTGATAACATGGTATTTAATCTTGATGTGTTTGGTCCTACCATGTTACACTGGATTTTGAGCAATAGTAATTGTTGACATTGTTAGGGAGACATACGGCTTAGTAGGGTGACATTGAGTGGTCCATTACATGTTTTGACACCACATTGTAACCAAAAGACTAGCCTATTAGTTCCATGAGTCTTCACATATATAAGCCATTATTTCCTTCTATATTTCTTCTATATTTCTTCAATGTGGGATCTTAACTTTTCACACTCATAAGGAACATACTACTTCAACAAACATGTTATTTACCTTGAGTACACAAGGCTCAATTTGATCAAAACCAAGTTCTTCAAGCACCATTCTAAGCTAAACAACATGATTTGCTGCTGCTCCAACTGCTAAATACTCGGCCTCAGCTATGGACTGAGCTACAACATCCTGCTTCTTTGAATTCCAAGAGAAACTCCCTGAACCAAAGGAGAACACATAACTTGTTGTGCTTATCATATCCTCCATAGAACCTGCCCAATCACTATCAACATACCTCTGTAACCTTCCTTGTTGATTACTGTCAAACCATAAGCCAAGTTCATAGGTTCCTTTGATGCACCTAAGAACTCTCTTGATTGCAACTAAATGAAGTTTACCGGGAGCTGACATAAACCTTGACAAATGGCTTGCTGCAAACATCAAATCAAGTCTTGTAACAGTTATATAAAGTAGGCTACCAATTAAACTTCGGTAGTAGAAGAAATCAACCTTGGTTTCTTGATCATCCTTGGAAAGCTTTTCATTTTGAACCAGTGGGGTGGCAATTGGTTTACAATTCTCCATTTCAAACTCCTTCAAGATATCCAGTGCATACTTTCTCTGGCAAATGAAAATTCCCTTGCTCAATTGTTGAACTTCAAGTCCTAGAAAATTCTTTGTCTCTCCCAAATCTATCATTGCAAACTCCTACATCATAACCTTCTTGAATTGTTCCAACAACTTCAAATCATTTTTGGTTAACAATAAGTCATCCACATAAAGTGACAAATTAAGCTGAGAGTCATTGTTGTTGCCTTTCACATACAAAGTTACTTCTTATGTGCTCTTCTTGAAGCCTTGACTCATCAAGTAGTCATCAATTCTGCAATACCAGGACCTTGGTGCCTGTTTTAGACCATACAAAGCCTTGTTAAGCTTATAAACACAATCTTCCTTCCTTATAATCCCAAACCCAAGTGGTTGTTCAACATAAACTTCCTTTTGCAGAACACCATTAAAGAAAGTTGATTTTAAATCCATATGAAACAACTTCCAACCCAAATTGGCAGCTAATGTAATTAGAAGCCTTACTGTATCATGTCTTGCCACCAGAGCATAAGTCTTTCCATAATCAACCCCCAGCTGTTGAGCATACCCCTTCACAACAAGTTCAACCTTATGTTTGTGTATAGAACCATCTAGATTTAGCTTAGTTCGAAACGCCCACTTCACTCCAATAGGCTTCTTATCATCTGGTTTTGGAACAAGACACCGAGTTTGATTTTTTTCGATCATAGACAACTCTTCCTTCATGGAATCAATCCAGACTTGTTGTTTAGCTGCTTCTTCAAAACAATTAGGTTCTGCAGAAGCTAAATTACATCTTGCATAAATCTCAGCTAGTGACTTAATTTTCAAAACTGGTGAATCATCATCAACTTTTACAATTTCAGGACTAAAAGCAACATCAGTTGATTTTAATTTTGAACCAGCTTCACACTACTTATTTGAACCTTTTTCTATCTTCCCTACATCCCAATTCCAGTGTGCACTCTCATTAAAAACAACATCTTTATGCACATTCACTTTCTTGGATATAGGAACATACACCTTATAGCCTTTTGCTTGTGTTGCATAACCTATAAAGATACCAATTTCTGCCTTCTCATCTAATTTCCCTCTTTTAGTTGCTAGAACATGATTATAACAAATTAAGACAAAAACCTTCAAATGATCAGCAGATGGTTTTTGACCATACCAAGCCTCAATAGGTGTCATGCCTTTTACTACCTTTGTTGGTAAACCATTTAAGAGATAGACTATTGTATAAACTGCTTTAGCCCAAACAAGATTTGGGTAATTTCTTCTCTACTAACATACACCTTGCCATCTCCATAATGGTTCTATTTTTCCTCTCTGCAATGCCATTTTGTTGTGGGGTATAAGACACTTGTAATTGATGATCAACACTAGCTTTTTCACAAAACAAGTTGAAATCATTGGAGGAATACTCCTTGCCATTATCTGATCTGAGTTTGTTAAATTTACATCCACTTTGGTTTTCAACCAAAGTTTTGAATTTTTTGAACACAGGCAAGGCTTGACCTTTGCTGCCGACAAAGTATACCGATGTCATTCTTGTAAAGTCATCTATAAAGAACATTAAATATTTGTTTTGGCTGAGAGATGGTGTTCTCATAGGACCACAAATATCTATACACACCAGTTCAAGCTTCTGAGTTGCTCTCAAAGATTCATTCATAGGAAAAGGCAATTTATGTATCTTGCCTAATTGACAACTTTCACAAACACTGTTAGTTAAATGCAATTCTGGCAAATCTCGAACAAACTCATGTGTTTGCATATATTTTAGGCCTTTGACATTGAAATGACCATATCTTTTATGCCATAAATCTGCATCCACAATTTTAGAAGTAGAAAAATAATGCTACACCTTTTCCAAATCCAAAGGAAAGCTGTTTTCTACCATTTTCACCCTAGCTATCTCATCACTAGTAAGGTCATAAATAAAACATGAATTATGCACAAAAGATAGAGTGTACCCCTTTTTCATCATTTGTGCAATAGAAAGTAAATTCTGGCTCAAGCTAGAAATAAACAGGACATAAGTAATTTGCTTTGTACCTGTTTTAGTTTGAATAACTATAGTAACTTTCCCTTGTGATCTCACCACAGTACCATTTCCTAACTTGACATTTGTAATAACTGATTTGTCCATTTCAATGAAGAGACTTTCATCTCGAGTTATATGATTAATGCATCCACTATCAACAAACCAGGTACTAGATGGCAAGGATGAATCGTGAGACACTATGAACAAGTAGTCCTCCTTGCACTGATCTTCAACATAATTAACTTATTATTGTTCTTCGGTTTGTACTGAGCTTGCTGATGTTGTGTTTGATGCTGTCGTTGTTGCTTAGCCCTACAATTCTTCTCAGTATGGCCATACTTTTTACAAAATCTACACTGAATCTGTGATTTGCCTTTGAACCAACAATCTTTTTCTTCATGGTTTGTTTTTCTACAATGACATCATGGAGGAAACCTCCCTTTTTTGCATTGCTGTTGCTATTGATGTGCTTGGTTAGAACCCATGGTCTTGTTACTTTCAGGACTAGTGGTTGGTTGTTTGCCTTGCAATGAAGGCTCCTTTAGTAGTTTCATCAGTTTTCATAACCAACCTTTGCTTGTGAGCTTGAAGCTTGCTTATGAGCTCAGGGATGGTTAGCTTTTTGAGGTCATAAGATTCTTCTATGGTAGAAATCTTGGACTCAAATTTATTTGGTACACTAACAATTATCTTTTCCACCACCCTTCGATTTGGAAATTCCGCACCATGAAGTCTAATTCGGTTGACAACATCCATCAATTTATTTGTATATAGATGGATTGTTTTTGTCTCCTACATTTTCATCATCTGAAATTGTCTTTTGAGGGTTACAATCTTGTTACCTTTAACTTGAGAACTACCATCAAACTCTTTCTTAAGAGTATCCCAAGCTTCTTGTGCTATTTCTGCTCCCATGATCCTTGAGAAAATATCATCTATTATAACACTATGAATATATGAGAGGGCTTTGTATGAGGCTTGATCATAGTCAGCATGTTGCTTCATCAAGGCTATAGTTGGATTGTTTAGCAGCATAGGAGGATGAAACCCATCTTCTACAGATTCCCACACACCATTACCTCATAGAAAGGCCTTCATTTTGATAGCCCAAATACTGTAATTTTCTCCCGTGAACATAGGAGGATTAGAAAGTGTTGAAGAATTGTTTGAAGACATGGTTGTGTTTTTTGTTTACACAACTTCTCTCCCTCACCAGCACTCGTGTTTGCTCTCCCTCACCAAAATCCGAAACTGTTTTGCTCTCATAGGTCCCTCAAGATGATTTGGCTTTGATACCAATTGTAAGTTTCTGCAGTAATGTAAAAGAACACAGAAAATGCAGAACTAGAAAAATTCAGAACAAGAGCTTCTTTGATATGAAGCTCTTTTTTCATTTCAGATTAAATTGCAAGACATAAGAGTTGCTAAAAAAAACATGCAGCATGTACATATCAGTTTTTGCCAAAAAAAAAAAACCACCAGAAAACATAAAGTTTAACTGCAGTAAACATAAACTAACTGTAGAAAACTAAAAAGAAACAATTACAAATTAAAAAGCATAACTGATATTTGCTAACTTCAACAATAGAAAATAAAAAATCTATTGCTCCATTTCTCTCGTTTGCATTGAAAAAGGGAAAATGAAAGAAATAGCAGGACGAACCCAAAAGGTAATTTCTGAGCTTCCTCTACAAAAAATATCAATTGTTCAATAGAGCAATGGAATATTGGATTGATGCTAGAGTTCATCATGAAATTCATCATAATCCTCCAATCCATCGTCATACAAGGTGTTGTAGAACAAATTTTCGTGATTTAGCATCTCAGCCAGTGACAATGCACCGTCTTTGTTATCATCAGCCTACAATCCAGCAATCAA